GCCCTCTGGAGAGTCAGCCACCCCTCCCAGTTTGGTATCATCAGCAAACTTGCTGAGGATACACTCTGTCCCCTCATCCAGGTTATTAATGAATATATTAAACAAAATTGGACCAAGTATCGACCCCTGGGGGACACCACTGGTTACAGGCCTCCAGCTAGACTTCATGCCACTGATCACAACCCTCTAAGTCCTGTCACACAGTCAGCTCTCAATCCACCTCACTGTCACCTCATCTAACCCGCACTTCCTCAGCTTCCTAATGAGGATGTTATGGGAGACAGTGTCAAAAGCCTTGCTAAAGCCAAGGTAGGTGACATCTACAGCTCTCCCTTCATCCAGCCAACCAGTTACATCATCGTAGAAGGCCATCAAATTGGTCAAACATGATTTACCCTTGATAAATCCGTGTTGACCACTTCCAGTAACTCTCCGTTCCTCAGTGTGTTTGGAGAGGACATCCAGAATGAGTCGCTCCATTACCTTCCCAGGGACCGATGTGAGACTAACTGGTCTGTAGTTCCCTGGGTCCTCCTTCTTTCCTTTTTTGAAGATTGGAGAGATGTCAGCCTTTCTCCAGTCCTCAGGCACCTCTCCTGTTCCCCATGACCTTTCAAAGATGATGGAGAGTGGGCTAGCTAGTGAAGTTACCTTATTATTTTAAGGTAGATTCTGGGTTGAGAGTTCTCTGCTAATTTCCAAAAGTGTCAAACCGCTTTAAAGGTTTGACAAAATGGAAAAATGAGAGTTTGTTTACCCATTGCGATTGCAGAGTTGCGTTGCAGACCAAGCAGCAAAGTCATCAGCTCCCTTAAGGGGCAATATAACATCTGTGAGTGACTCCAACCCAGAGCTGCTTTGCCTTCTGCTGGTATCTTGGTGGTTAGATGTTTTTTAACCGTCTTTTCTTTAGTTATGGATATCCTTGTCCCTCTATGCAAAGGCTTTTACTTTATAAACATGTGTGAGCAAAACTCTATGAAAAACATTAAACCAACAATAATCGTACATGTGATGCAGCTTCTTAGCAACTGTGGTCTGTGCTATAAGGAAATGATTACTTATTTTTCTTTTCCTTTGTTTAATAGTGGAAACTCTTGTTGGACTTCCATTCCACTTCATAAATGTGTGAACTATGCTTTCATTCCTTAATGTTTCCTGCTGGAGTCTTGAACCAGAAGGCTGAGCATACACGTGTCACTGAAGCAAATATGAAGTGGAGGGAAGAGTTCAACAAGAGTTGACTTTTTTTTTTTTTCAGGCAGCAGGTGTTGGGAGAGTTGAGGTTGTTTGGGGCTGAGAGAGTTGGGGTTGTTCAGCCTGAAGAAGCGAAGACTCCGGGGAAACATTATAGCGGCCTTCCAGTATCTAAAGGGGCATGCACAGGAAAGCTGGAGAGGGACTTTACAAGGGCATATAGTGATAGGACGAGGGGGAATGGCTTCAAACTGTAAAAAGGAAGATTTAGAATAGATATTTAGATATTAGGAAGAAATTTTTCCCTGTGAGGGTGGTGAGCCCCTGGCGCAGGTTGCCCAGAGAAGCTGTGGCTGCCCCATCCCTGGAGGTGTTCAAGGCCAGGTTGGACGGGGCTTGGAGCAACCTGGTCTGGTGGGAGGTGTCCCTGCCCATGGCAGGGGGGTTGGAACTCGGTGATGTTTAAGGTCCCTTCCAACCAAAACCATTTGATGATAAGTAACATTATCTCCATTAACTGCTTGAAAAAGTGAAAACTGGCCGTTATACAAAGTGACAGTGTTTTGTAGTACTTACACAAGACTTGCTCACAAGTATGTCTGTCTGCGCCTTCAAGATTTGAACTCTGTCAGGGGATGGTTGGATTGAAGGCTTGTAACTTCTTTTCCGTTCTTCTGGACAGCAGTTTCTGATATCCTGTCTCTAAATAACTTCTTACTGTGACACCTCTCTAAAGCAATCTTAGATTTGTCTCCAGTTATTCTCAACAAGTATTTATTAAACATGATAGATATTCCGTCTTTAAAAAAAAAAAAAAAACAACCACAGAACAAAGCCACAAAAAACCCAAACCACCACCATCAAAAATGTCTCTTATAATAGAAAACTGTCCTTCACTAAACACATGGCAGCACAATTTCTTAGTGGAGACAGTCCATCAAAGGAAAAACAGATTCTTTTTAAACACAGGAGTGTATTTTGAGTAGGTGCAGGACTAATCCTAAAACTTTTAAGGAAGGGATCCTTCAGATATAACGGTGTGTAATGATGTAATCTGCTCCCTGTTACTTGTTCTTTCCTTTTCTATCCTTTTTTTTTTTCTCATCACCCTAAAGCTGGGAATTGGATCTAATAGTGCAGCTCAGACATCTCCAACCTTTTTCCAGCTCCCTGCCTTAATTTAGTAGAGACTCCTCATTGCTCATCTTCCCTCTTGTTGCCAAACCCTTTGCCAGGGAACAAAGGCTTGTTGTTCTGCTCGCGCTCTGCTGTTAGTCTCCAGGAACTTGTCCCATGGAAGCGTCCTCCTACCTCTCCTTCCTCTCTGAATTTCTGCCCCGGGCCAGGCTGCATGACTGAGCACAGGAGAGGAGATCCATCCCACAGGAGGAACAAGCTCTGTGGGACACAGCTGAGTTTCTGTCCTTCCAAAGCAGCAAAATTATTAGGGGCTTTGGTAATCTATTGCCTGTGGTAATCTATGAGCTCAGCCTTTAGTTTGGCAGACGCTAGTCTTGCCCTATTTTTCCCTCCCCTTCTATCACCCCTTTTATGGAACTGCTTGCATGCAGAAAACCTTTTATTATTTTTTTTAAAATCTATTTTTCTTCCGCTAGAAAAAGGAGAGTGAATGTTTACAGCTGAAGATCCTGGTGCTACGTAATGAACTGGAGAGGCAGAAGAAGGCCCTTGGTCAAGAAGTAGCCTTGTTGCATAAGGAGAAAAATACTTTGCATGACAGAGGTAAGTGTAGAATCGTTACTGCTTCTATTGCAGATATTCATAATCTGCTGATTCGAAGCGTAGTAGCCTAGCTTGTGATCACGGTGACCAAAACGAAGGTGATGTTTTGGTTTTTGGGTCTGGCTCTAATGTTTGTGCTTTTCTTTATCTGAAGTTTGCAGCCAGATATAATCTCTTCACCATCTGTGTTATACTGAATCCTGGGCAACAGTTTCTGGTATCCTGTCTCTAAATATCTTCTTACTGTGACACCTCTCTAAAGCAATCTTCAATCTTTGCTTAATTAAAATTTTATGAGAAAATCAGGGCAGCACTGTAATGCAGTAAACAGTGGCTTGTTGCAGGCACCTTATAACGTCACGAGGGATGTTACTGTACTTGTGATTAGGATCTCATTTTAAGTGTTGTAAGACAGAAGTCCCTCTTAATAGCTTATTACATAAGTGAAAGGTGAAATGCTCAGTCTTCTTGGTATTTTGTTTTACTGGGAAAGTGTCCTATAGTAAAATGCTATATCACTGTCTCTTTGGAGCTCAGCAGAGACTGAGCTACAGGGATGCTTGATCTTGTTGCAGGACTTATTTTTTGGGTTTTTTTTTTAAATACCTAGTTGAGTCTAAAATAATCAGTCACTTCTAAAAACTAGGTTTTTGCCATTTACTTAGTTCTGGTTTTGCAATTATTAAGATGCCTTAACTGAATTCCTCCACTACTGTGGACATGAGGGGAACAAGTGTGAAAGGAGAAGGTGGTTTCCTTGGTTGTATTTGGCTGATGAATGCTGTATAGTGCCTGAAGACTTGTGTTCCTCCTGCACTGCCATTCCCCAGTTCGGCAGCATAACGTGGAAAATGGGCACCTAAGGGTAAATGGAGGATTTTTTGCCAATAATTGTGTCAATATCTACTTTAAAACTTCAGATAACTAAGGAAATACTTGATACTAATTTTTTTCTAATTCCTCATTGTGTTTAGAAAATGCATTTGAGACTGAATACCAGAAACTTCAAGAGCATAATGAATCCCTGCACGAATTAAGAAAGGAATGCACTGCTAAGAGGTAAAAGGACCTATGCTTTTTCTGCAACTGGAAAGGAAATACAGGCTTGAGATTAGGCTGTTTCAAGTGGGATCCTGGCACCAAATTCTTCCTAATGTCACCCCAAAACCTCTATTACGACATCTCTGCTCCAATTTGTAGATATTAGTGATTAGGTGATAATTAACAGTGGCAAGTCTAAAAGAGGAGAAAACAGATGCTTGGTGGCACGTGTAGACTATGATAGGACTTCTAGGTCTGTTTTGGTGAAATACAGCTTTGTAATACGTAATTGTCACAGTCAAAATATGCCTATAATACCAAGGTACAACTGAAAACGAAGAGTTAGCTTTGTTTGTAGTTGTCTTTGTGGAATTACCTAGCTTTTTGGGAGAGGGGAGGTGATACTTGGGATCATGCAGAAGGAATATGAGGGCTTGATAACCTTTACTTAAAGCTTTTGTAGAAATTAATGGTTTTGGGATTTCTTTCCCCAAAGAGAACTGTTCTTGAAGACTAATGCCCAGCAGACTATTCGATGCAAGCAATTGCTATCGGAGCTATCCTATATCTACCCTATTGATCTGGTATGTTTTTAACATTCTAAAAACCTGCTTGATGTGAAATGAACTTCCTATTTATTATACTGCGAGCAAATACCATGTTTTATTCATGATGAAACTTGCTCTTCACTCGCGCTGGTTTTTCCAGCTTTTTCTTGGTTTTGGCCTTTAGATTGTAGACCTCGTGGGGAGAGGACTTATGCCAGTGTCTCTCAAGTAGTCTCCACTATAAAAGTAGAATAGCTGTAATTTAATGAATACTTTCCATTTTGTTTAGAATTATATAAAGTAACCCTGATTAGGTAGTAGGCCAGCTGAACTTTAACGGAGTGCACATAAATAAATGTCAAAATACTGAGCTCCGAAACCTTTTATAGAATGAATTGCTAAGAGGAAGCTCTTCCTTCTTTAAAAAAGTTGCATTTATTTCTGAATTATATGAAATGTGGATTAAAACATTATGCCAAAGCCACTCTGCTGGGTTTCATTGAATATTTAGCCTTTTCTCTACAAAAAAATGCATTGTTGCCATCGGGTTTTGTGCAGGTTTCTGTTTTCTGGATGTTATTGTTCCATTCTCACTTTCCATTGTTGATTTTAAACTTGCAGAACGATCAAAAGGATTACTTTGTTTGTGGAGTCAAGCTTCCTAATTCTGAAGACTTTCAAGGTAGCTGCATATTCTTAATTTAGTTGTTACAGTTGACACTGCTTCTAAAAGTCATGAAATTAAGTAAACTGATAGCAACGGCTTAGGATCCAAATTTCTGACGGGAAAGGTCTAGACTAGAAGAAAACTTACACGTATTTATTCCTACTTTCTAGCTACTACAAAAGAAGCTTCTGTCGACTCTTAGGAAAGTACCTCTGTATTCTAAGACTCTGTACCGAAGCTCTGGAACAGGTTACCCAGAGAGGCTGGGGAGTCTCCATCCTTGGGGACACTCAAAACCCAACGACACGGTCCTGTGCAACCTGCTGTAGCTGACCCTGCTCTGAGCAGGGGGCTAAAGACTACACGATTCTCAGAGGTGCCTTCCAAACTTAGCCGTTCTGGAAGATATTTGTGTCCATTGTGGCTCTTTTCAGCCCATAAATCTTGATGGGGCAACGTGCACAAATCCCCATTCAGTTTGCTGTAGTTGCCGGTGAACTTACCAAATCAATATCATGCATATGTAAGACTTTAAAGGTGCCTGACAGTATGGAGTATATTACAAGTCAGCTTCTACCTTAACTGTCCACAGTCATCCTATGGCAGAAGCAAATATATAATATGCCTGTCTGTATAACAGTTGTACAGGTAACCGCATGCTTTCATCTACAAATGTTTGATATGAATTAGAACTTCATTAAAATTCTCTTGAATGTTTCTTGCACCCACTACTCGCTCCCTTTGTGAGGCACGTGGGTTCTTGGGCAAAACCCTCAATCTGTTGTTTAACTCTTCAAAGCCATCTCATAGGAATTAACTTGTGCTAAAAACATGTATATTGGATGCTAGAATAATGGAGGAATAATCTTTAAAACGAATTAGTTTGTCAATATGACAAAAATCAGTCTATTCCTTTGTTTTTATGACTGCACTAAATGGGGTAACAAACTATGGCGGTTCTTGAGAAATCAGTGACATGCGTCTTTTTGCCCATTTTCAGTTTACTGGTAGTAATTCCTTACAAAAGAATTGCAGATTCTTTGTCAAAGTCTCTAGAAATGTTGCATTATGAGGAAGAAGTACTAAGCATTCAACTTAGTGAAATGTGCAGCTAAATTTGAAAACCAGCTGTCTGACGTGTATCTCATTTCAGACTCCTAGTAAATAATATTTTTAAAAAGGTTTTATTCCCTAAAAAGCCAGTTTTGCTGCAAATGTTGAAGAGTTTTTACAAAATCCTTTTTGAACGGGGTGTAACTTTTAAATCCATGTATTGTGTTGTGTTCTAATAGAGCTTGGTATGATTTCATAGTTGTTGCTGAGCATCATGATCAGCTTTCTTAGAAGGTCCTCTGTTTAGTTGATTTCCCGGGACTCCCTCATGCCTCAGAAGAGGTGACTCTGTCATGTTGTTGTATTGGTGTATTCGCTTACGAAGAGGAAAAATAGAGAAAACAGAAAGGAAAAGCCCTTACGTGGCTAAAGGATGTAACTTGAATCGCCAGACCTGTGTGTATTCCCATTAGGTGAAGCTTTAAGGTTGAAACCTTAAATGTCAAATTGAAAGTGATTCTTTAAAACAATGGGTTAAGCTAAATTCTCCCAGCTATTGGCAGAGAACAGAGTTCATACCCTGGGGTCGGTGTCTCTCCAACTGATCTCACTAATGAATAAAGTTACGGAGGAATGCAGCTTTTCCCTGACCCCGGTCATACGTGTCAGCTACATCTAGAGAAATGCAGAAAGTTTAAGACTTAATTTTGTCTTGGGAATTTTGTTTCACTTTTCCCATCTCGTCTTTACCCTCCCCCACCCCGCCAAATGCTGAGAAGAGTAACTTGTAGCTTTGAAAGTGTAATATAGGATGGGGAGCAAGTCGTCGCCCATTTTTCATTGCCCTTTAATGAAAGAGGCAAATATAGTGAACCACAAACAACTGTAAAGCTGTCTAAATACATTTCAGAGCTGTACATATTCTTAAGTTAAAACTTCTGATAGCTTCATTAATTGAATCATTCTCTAATGATGGTTTAAAAGTGGGCCTGGTAGAGTTAGGTAACGGTTGGACTTGATGATCTTAAAGGTCTTTTCCAACCATAACGATTCTATGATTCTAAGCAATAAGGATGAACTTGTGCTGAGCCTGCAGTGAGATCCAGTTGATTAAATAATGGAATATTTGTTATTGACAGCAAAAGATGACGGAAGCATTGCTGTTGCCCTGGGCTACACCGCTCACTTGGTTTCGATGATATCCTACTTCTTACAAGTGCCACTCAGGTATCCTATAATTCACAAGGGCTCCCGGTCTACAATCAAAGATAATATCAATGACAAACTGACGGAGAAAGAGCGAGAGTAAGTATGTCGTAAATATGCCTATATGCTTTCTTCCAAACAACAAAACAACAACAAAAAAACCCCAACCTTGAACAGTGTTAGGTAACCTGAAGTGGGACGGATTTTGAAGTTATTTATTACTACTTTCAGTAGCCATGGGACCATCATTTGAGTTTCCGTGTTGGAATTCTGCGATTGAGTAGAGTAGTTCAGCTTTGTCATTCTAGGTCTGTTGGCTTGTGTATGCTATTTATGGGGCTTCTAATAATGGTAGAAAAATTTAAATACTGTGTCTGATAGGTAAGTTTTGGCAGCTGATTGGAAAACTTGCCTTTTGTGTTTTGCTGCTGGCTATGGGAATCAACCGGAGATAGCAAGCGTAGCTTCACTGAGGAGTTACCAACAGTACTGGAGTAGTGGTTGATAAACACGAGAAAACAAATAGCTTTCTTCAATAAGGAGGATTTTAATCAATTGACAAAGAGCACTGTAAACTGTTATCTCCTGTAAATTGACATAATATTCAATGAAGAGTTTCTCATTTGTTCTGTAATCATTGTCTTTCATCATGTAGCTACACTGGTGTTATTGTTGTGCTACTGGGAAACTCTCCTGCTGTCCTTAAATTCACTCTCTGAATGCCTTCTCCTGCATTTTGGCACTTTGCCTGTTTTCCCACTGTCTTTGCACCTGTGTGCTCTAATGTGAAAATAGGGGCAATTACTGGTTAAGCTTCACTTTGGAGCCTTGCAACCACAGAACTCAAAGGAATGCGACGCTGACCGGCTGTGGGAGGCCAGCTGCTGCGCACGGATCCTGTGCGAGTCAGCCTCGCGGCACCAGTAACTTTGTTTTTCCGTATGCGAGGTTTGAAAAGGGAGCAAAAGAAATGAATTTGTGGCAAGTAGCTGTCTCTGTTGATGTGAAGGCTTAAAAAAATAAATAAATAAAAAAATCTCATCTCTTTGGAAGTATGCAATCAAACTATTATAATATTTTAACGCTAATTCCTAATAGTGCAAATCGAGATGGAAGGGTCTTACTGTGCGTAGTTGAAAGGTTTGGGATGCTTGAGAAGTGTCGGTTTTTGCTTTGAAGCTCAGTGACTTTTGGCAGGACAGTAGAGGTAACTCGCCTGAAGAGTTAAACTCACTGAGGTCTTCCTGTCGTGACACAGTTAAATATGACTATATAATTATGTCTTGCAAATTAATTTCAATACCATTTTAATGACTTGTCTAAACACTTCCTGGGTAACTTAATAGAACATCACTCTGCTTCAGTTTAGTTCTCTAAGCATATGATCATACTCCTTCCCGTACATGACTTTTGGAGGGGTAGCAAACTAGAACATTTGTATCTGGAAAACAAATTTCTGAGGAGCAGAGCTGCCTGTGTGTGGGTGGATAAAGATTAAACCAATTTCCTGTTGTCTGAGACAGATTGGAAGGTTTAGTCCTTCAGGCTATTGCCTTCCAAACCCTCATGACTTAATACTTTATTTCACAATATATTTCTGAAAAGGAGAAAGTTTAGCTAAGCATATGAATCCCTGTTGGGCTATTTACCTGTGTTCTGCAAGATTTTTTCAGGATTAGCTCCTGCATGAGGTCTTCTCTTCCCAGCTATTGGAGAGTCAGTCCTACCAACTCTCAAAGGACTTCAGTCGCTATAGAAAAACCTCAAATGTCTTAACTTGCAGTTTTCTTTCTAAACTAATAGTTCATATTTCTCACCTGCTCTGAACTGGATTGAACATAGCGATTAACGTGCATTATGAAATTTCTTTATTGCAGTCACCTGTCCTTTAGCAGCTTTCCGAACTCCAACATAAACTGTTGAGTAATTATAGTGAGGTTTTCTCTGTACTCAGTCTTCACTATAACACTTAACATCATGGTTATTAACTAGGTTAAACGTTTTACTTGGCTTCATGCTTTTTTTTGGACTGCAGGGCTGCCCTGAGATCTGTGTTAAGAGCTTCTAAAAACCGTACATTGGGGGAATAGCTTAAGATTTCACTTGAGAGTGTTTTCATCAGTACACGTTTGTTTGTCATGTTATACTTTATATACGTGTTATGTCACTTTATTCAGCTTCTTAAAGCCTTTATAATAAGCTGGTTAAATATTTTGAGAGCTTTCAGAAGGTAAGTTGTGTCTGGGAAATACTTTATCTGCTACAGATTTGTTTACTTGGATGATCCAGGTCACTTACATCTCGAGGTGCTTGTGAAAGTATTTAATTTTGTCTGCTGCAATTACTGTTATGTTGGAACTTAGAGTGTACAAAAGAAGTAGGAGGCTGTGATGAGAACTTAACACTTGTGTCTGGCCGTGTTACTGAAGGTAGAATGAGGTAGAGAATACCTGCCAGTGGCATACATTATGTGGTCAGCTTTGTAATTGTAGAGGTATTCGTGTTTATGACCTATACAATAATGGTTCCCATCTTGTATTCCATAAAATCGTTTTGGTACTACTAAAAGGCTGTAAGCTTTCTCCCGTAAATCTACTTTTTATGACTTTCTGAACCACCAAGGTAAGGCAAGAATATAATTTTCACTTAACATAACATTAAGGCACTTCAGTGGTCCATTTCAACATCTCCAGAGTGCGTTGAATGTGTAGGAAGAAAGAGTACCATTCCTCAAAAGCTCTGGAGTCTGAAAGATTTCAAAGTAAATGGTGGACACATAACTCCCAAATTTCATCAAATCATAGAATGGTTTTGGTTGGAAGGGATCTCGAAGATCATCTCGTTCCAACCCCCCTGCCATGGGCAGGGACACCTCCCACCAGCCCAGGTTGCTCCAAGCCCCGTCCAACCTGGCCTTGAACACCTCCAGGGATGGGGCAGCCACAGCGTCTCTGGGCAACCTGCCCCAGGGGATCACCACCCACACAGTGAAATTTTTTTTCCTAGTATCTAATCTAAATCTCCCCTCTTCCAGTTTGAAGCCATTCCCCCTCATCCTATCAGTACATGGCCTTGTAAAAAGTCCCTCTCCAGCTTTCCTGTTGGCCCCCTTCAGATACTGGAAGGCCACAATAAGGTCTCCCTGGAGCCTTCTCTTCTCCAGGCTGAACCCCCCCAACTCTCTCAGCCTGTCGTCCCAGCAGAGGTGCTCCAGCCCTCTGATCCTCTTCATGGCCTCCTCTGGCCCTCCTCCAACAGGTCCATGTAGGCTGAGGACTCCAGAGCTGGACGCAATATTCCAGGTGTGGTCTCCCCAGAGCAGAGCGCAGCAGAGGGGCACAATCCCCCCTCGCCCTGCTGGCCACGCTGCTGGGGATGCAGCCCGGGATGCCGGGGGCTCGCCGGGCTGGGAGTGCACATTGCTGGCGCATGTTGAGCTTCTCATCAACCAGTTCCAACCCCTGTACCATGGGCAGGGACCCCTTCCACTAGACCAGGTTGCTCAAAGCCCTGTCCAACCTGGCCTGCTTAGGACAGCAGCATGTTCCTCTCTTCAGTGACAAATGTGCTTGCTGAATAATCCACCTAAATTCCTTGGCACTGATCTTGTGGAACTGAAACATAGCACTTCATCGGGTCCTCATAAATATAGTAAGAATACTGAGATTAAAATGTTTATGTTATATTCTGACGCTGTCTGTCAAGCCCTGCATTTAATGCTTCTGTTAGTCTGCTCCCAGATTTTTAAATAAAAATACCTTCCAGTTTAGAGCAAAACAAGGAGTGTCATGTCTGGAGGGAGACATACTTTGTGAAATTGCCTGTGTTGGTGGTGCTGCTGTTGTCATATTTTTTTTAGATAGTCTTCAGTTCAGTTCTCTTCTTTGAATGTTGACAGGAGCTAAACATCTCACAAGGTAAATGCCTGCATTTTGCTGGCTGGAAGCTTACTGGGTGTTTTGAAACAATGTCAGTCTCCGTGTTGGTTTTAAAGTGAGTACATTAAAGCACGTTTACGCCATCTCTTTGGGAGTCTTTTGACATCCCTGTTGACTCAAAGCTACGTTTGATTGCTGCGTTCTGTGACTGAAGCTTCACATGACATTTCTACAACCTGCCGGTTGAATATTTAAGAAGAGAACACTTATTTCATCAAATCACGTTAGGCAGCTTGGAAATATGTATACTCCCTTAAGAAAACTAATGTTATTTGGAGTTCAGTTGCCTTTCTGTTACCCTCCGTGTGTCTGGACAAATGAAATGGGCATTCAGAGCAATTATTGCTGTTGTATTTTTGCAATCTCATTCATACTATGTCTTTTCTTGAATATTTTTTTTTTTAAACTCTTACTTCTTCCCTGCTAGGTAATTTGGAAAGGAGCATGGTTTCAAGAAATAGTTTTGCTACCATTGTTTCTCTGTAGTAATAACAAAGAGAAATCAAGTACTATATGCAGTCTGTTCTGGTTTGTGCTACACCTTCTTCCCACCAAAATGTGTTTAGGGAGGATTAGAAAACTAACAGTAGTGAGAAAGTAATTGCCTCAAAGTCATATTGCAGGTTAAGGGGGAAAAAAATGAAGGGGTAGAATATATGATTTGAAAAAAAAAATATGTTTAAAAGACAAAAAGAACACTGTAGTTTTCAAGCAGAGCTACTGGAGGAGATATGGCATTTCAGAGTTGTCCGATGTTGAAGAGATGCTATTTTTTTCTTGTTTTGTATGTTTAAATATTGAACTCATTGCCACCTAATGTTATAAAAGTCAAAAATACATAGAAAGTTTAAAAATAAAATAATAAAAAAACCACGTAGGCCCTAGGCAGTCGTGGAGGAAGCCTGATCTAGTCTGGTGTATTTTTTGCAGGAATATTTGGCATTTGCTGACCTAAGAGTAAACTACTGTAAAGGTTTTCCTTGGCATTCTATAGTTTATAGAAAGATTTATGGTCTTTTCCACTCTGCTTGACAAATACAGACACGAAGAGGCTGAAGGACACACAAACAGCTGCGATGTGGTCTTGCACATCTGCCTTCGAAGGCATCTGACCTCTTTGCAGTTGTGTCTTATGATTTTTATTTTTTTTCCACGTTACCT